ACACAGGAAGAGAACAGAACTGATCGTGGGTTGAGAAGCACTCGACGAAGTGATGAACGAGGGTGGAGAACTGTTTGCCGACTTCTGCGCACCCAACGATTTGGTGATCGGAGGCGAGGCAGTGTGTACAAACACAAGGATATTCACAAGGCAGCGACATGGATTTCGCCAGTCACCAGGACACACTAAACTAAAAATCAGATCGACTTCATCTGAATGTGAAGAAAACGGGGGCGGAGCCAGCCTACTGGACACCAGATCAGATCAAGAAGAGGAGTGGATGTAGGTTCACACCACTATCTTGTGCAAGGAGCCTACCTGCAAAATCAAGTTGGAAGCCTCCAGAGGAGTTGGTGACAGACCACAGTCCAAGTTGAACACCCGGAACAGAAACTGAACTGAAGGACGAAACTACAAAGGACACCTGCACGTCAGCCAGTAGTGGGGACGAAATGGGAGGTATTGAGCAACATCCCTGGAGAAACCTGTGTGGAAGAACACTGGAACTCTTTGAAAGAGATGAGGAAGGGAACCTGGATAACCTTGTTAGGAAGGAAGGAAGGAAGAAGACAAGGGATGGATCTCAACGAACACATGGAAGCTCATAGAGGAGGGAGAGTGAGAGTAAGATGGTGAATTAGAAGATGAACCAGTGCAAGGATGCACAACGAAAAGAGGGACTGAACACAACCTATAAAGCACTACACTGGACAAAGAAGTGAAGAAGAGTGCACGGAAAGACAAGAGACACTTCCACAACACACTGGCAAGTGAAGCAGAACAGGCCGCTGGTAGGAGAGATAGAGACGTGACAACATTATATCAAATAACCAGGTTACTATCAGTGCGGGAAGAGGTCAACGCAGATGAAACCAATGAAAGATAGTGAAGGGAAGCTAGTTACCAAAGAGAGATGAGAAACAAAGGAAACAGTGGGCTGGCCACTTCAGAAAACTCCTGAATCGACCACCACCACCACCAACGCCACCACCTACAACTCGTCCAGAAATACCACCAACAGCTCAGCTACAGAATTAGCAGTGAACACAAGCCTTCCGACAAAAGCCGAAGTCCTGAACGTCATAAAGCTGCTGAAATCTAGGAAAGTAGCAGGATCAGATGGAATTCCTCCTGACAACAGTGGACATACTCAAACCACTATTGCAGAAGGTTTCCAAGGAAGGAAGGAAGCCCTTCTTCCAGTCGATCGGCAGGTACCTTTCCTTCCTTCCCTCCTTCCTTCCTACCTGCCGATCGACTGGAAGAAGAACTACCTTGTCAAACTCCCAAAGAAGCGAGACCTAGGTCTTTGCAAGAACTGGCGCGGAATCATCCTCCTGTACACACCAAGCAAAATATTATGCCGCGTCATCCTGGAGAGACTTCAAGATGCACTGGATTCAAAATGACGACCGGAACACGCTGACTGGTTGGTCGGCTTCAGGAAAAACAAATCATGTGCTGACCAAGTTGCAACGCAATGCAACGCAACGCTACGCATCATCATAGAACAGAGCATAGAATGGCAGTCAACTCAACTCAACCTCAACTTCATCGATTTTGAAAAGGCCTTCGACAGTGCTCACCGAGAAGTAATTTGGCAAGCAGCTGCTTCAACACTACAGTTTTCGTGCCACAAACCTTCATCAACCTCACTCAACAGCTATATGCTATATGGTGCTGCATGCAAGTTGATTCACTATGGAAACCCCAGTGATGATGCCTTTGGCCTGAGGACAGGGGATAAGACAAGATTGCCGCCTACTACCACCGATGATCTTCCTCATTGTGGTCGACTGGGTTGGATTATGCAGCAAACCGTGAGGAACGAAAAGAAGGGCATACGTTGTTTGACCGATGGAATAGACTCTGGAAGATTTGGTTTTTCGCCAATGATGATTTATCTCTGATGTAGCACAAACTCGAAGGTCTACAGGCAAAACCAACAAGTTGGTAGAAGAGGTGGGGCAGCGAAGATAGAAGACTTCAAGTGAACGTAGAGAAGACAGAGGTGAGGAAGATACCTAACCACCCCCACCCCACCACCACCAACAACAACGAGCACCGATCACCATCAACAAGAGAAACCAAAGGAAGTTGTCTCTTTCACCTACCTACCTTGGCAGCATCCTTCCAATTACAAGCGGCACAGGTGGGGATGTCAAAGCAAGGATCGGAAAGACAGCAATACAGGCCTTCATTAACCTGAAACCAGTGTGGAAATTAACTGCACTCCACTCCACTCCACTCAGCATAAAGTGTGAACAACATCCGGATTTTCAACACTAATCTCAGTCAAGTAACTCAGTGCTTCTATATGATGGATCAGAAAGTTGGCGCGTTACGAAGAACATTTCCAACAGACTGGAGACGCACATCAACAGCTGCCACCTACGCTCACTCGATACTGACACCGAAGATCAGATGGACAGAATAATAAGAATAAGCAAGAAGGAACTCTGGCTGGCTGGCTGGCTGGCAACGAACCAACCAAGAGCCTTTCACCCAACAAATATCCAGAGGAAAGTGGAGATGGGTTGGATGGGACCTACACTGAAAAGACCATTCTGAGACACTGCGCACCAGACCAGGTCCTCGAGTGGAAGCCGAAGGGGAGACGACGAGTTGGGTGTCCGTGGCGAGGGTGACATCGAGGAGATCATGTGAGGAAGAAACGAAAGCTTGTGGGCAGTGGTGGAGCCATGTTTTGAAGACTGCAGAGAAGAGAGTGAAATGGGGACGTGCCACTGAAGATCTAGTTCCACTCGGAACTCAGGGGACATTTAATGCAAAGAAATAATACTTATTGTCAATGGTAAGTTTTATAGTATCATATTCACGTCGTTTCGGCTTAGAAATTTATTCAAATTAATTGTCTCTCCTCAGTCTTTGGCAAAAGATTCTTTGACTTCGGATGTTTAGGAATGAGAAATGGTAAGCTGGTGGTGATAGGTGTAATGAAGGTATAGAAGGGTTTTACATTACATGGGCTTTTGTCTTAAACTGCTAATAATTACTGGAAAGTTCATAGGTACGACATTTTAGTTTTGGACCTCTTCTATTTGCTTCATTTTTCGATAAAATGCTGGCAGTCAGCGATTTTAGTAGTGTAAAAAGACTACACTACTTCACATAAAAATGTTTCAATAATTATTTGTAATGTAGCGTAATTATGTGATATATTTTATACTGAAATTATTTGTCAAGACTCACTGACAAAACAACATAAAACCTAAAATATATGTATCATTCCAAAGTCTCATATTTCATCGATGGAGAATTCAGTAACTAACGAGCGGTTAGGGGCAAAAAAAGACATGAACCGAAGGAATACGCCTTTCAGGGATATAGCCATTTCTCATTATCTAAAATAAGATAAAACCGGAGTACATACTCCCTAACGAGATCGATTTTTAGCTTTTCAAACTTTTCATGCTACTATCCTTGAGACTGTTGCCAAAAGAGCCCAAGATATCCTGTCTTTGTTATGATTAGCAGTGTCACGCTTCATTATCAGCTTCCCAACCTCTGACTATTACTCTACTGGACACCATATTTCGACGTAGTTGTCGATAGGAGACTAGTGACACATCGCAATCATCTCATTTGTGTCAAGATACCTAGAGTTCAACAGAGAGTCTGTTTGTCATATTTATTAAATAGTTGAACCCAGAAGGGACGTATAATATTTCGTAGTTTTGTGAACGAATAACTCTCAAGTATAAAATAATTTTTGGTAAAAATACAATTCTAAACCTGCAGTCTGGTAGGAAGGTATATTTCTGGAAGTTTACATTGTGCTCAAATCACTTGATCCTGCTATCTGCAAACAAATGTTCACATTTTACGCACACAGCGTTCCTAGACTCTGCTACCATATTCTTTCATTAGAAACGGATATAAGTAACTATCCACTTGTCACTAAGTAGCTCGATAACACCTATTAGAACTATGCTTCGAATACTGTATATCATGGAATGTATTTTTCGTAGAAGAGAAATGCTAATTTTCATTTTCTCACAGCCCCCTGGTCAGTATGAAATTTGGGGTTTACTTTAATTAGAAATGAGGAACATTTAATGAAAAAACTTCAAGTGATTCATTACTGAGGTGCATATCCATAAAACAGAATATCATTTTGGAAGCGAATTAACATAGAGATTAAAACCACTGTCTTCTAAGGAATTTTGTAATTTGGAGAAAACCTAATTTTTTTAGTTCTAGAATTCTTTTCAACATTATTTAAAATCGATATGCATTTAGATAATGTAGGCGATATATTTCTATTGGCGCTAAGGAGGACTTATGATCACTTCGGTTATATCATGCAGTTCTACAGAGCAACAATCGTGGAATGATCGCATTGGTGGGAGATTAACTAAAACTTGCACGAAGTGAAGCAGGTTTTAAGAATCCAGCAAACATTTATGGGCTCAAGATTGCAGACAAGCAAGCGCAAACAAGCACTAAATCTAGGCCAAGTAGAGTTCCCCGTCGATCGAATTTGAAGAAAAAGGTTGGTCTCCAAGTAGACTGACATTAAGTGGAGAACCACTGAAAACCTGGGAGAATTTGACGGCCGTCTCGTTCTCTTATAGTATTCTTCAACGGTGTGCACTAACAAAATCTAGAGGGATGTGGCTTGGGATCATCAGGTCTCCAGGTGAGTTTCTCACAATTCAATCACTGGGTAGGAATCCATTGTTACAAATTGTACTACTTCTTTTGATACAGCGTGTACATCATCCAGTGTCACCGGTAATTGTTTGCCATCGTAATGGACTTCGTTAACTGCAAAAGTTGCAGCTTCGCATTGTAACTTCCACTAGTCAGTCTCACAGTGAGTCACTAGTGAATAAGCTATTAAACTTGGAAAAAACAGCTTCCAATGTTCACAGGTTTTTATTGATTGACCAACTTGTTTCAACCCATGATGATAATTGTTTTGAGACCAAAACATTCCGATAAACTACCAATCAAACTCAAAATGAAAAGACGAATTTCATATGAAATATATTTTTAAAAACAAAGCCCGATAGTACGTTCACTGAAGAAGTCATACAGTTAAACAAAGCAATTCAGACTACACGATCAAAATTGTTGAGATAACGAGGAAAAATGACATTCTGTTGATTATGCTTTTAGAAATATCATATAAGCTAACACTATCAAAGTAGGATAAGTCTAAAAAAACATTTTGTTGTCAAATTTAAATAGGGAAGTCCCATTCTGAAACCAAAATGAACAGAATATGACTTTAAAATGAGTGTTGACCAATGAATGCCGTTTCATAAGAGACATCTATCAAAATCTTTATGCCCTGAGTTACTGAAATTCCTCAATATTTTGAAGAATCTCAAACTCTTATTTGAAAGGAAATCGATTGAAATGAAGTGAATTGAATGTCCTATCCCGAAAATCCTTTCAAGATTGTTTTTCGGTCACTCCTGGAAAATGCTTCACCTCATACATTTTGAGATAGTTAAGAGAAAGAACTGACCATTTTTATCCACAAAACAAATGGATTTTAATTGTCAGGGTACCTGAATCACCGATAAGGCTTGACAATCACAGAGATTTCATATTTATTGCGATACTAAAAGTTATCGAAACAAGTATATCAAATAGGAGTCGATAAATAAGATGTTGACTGAGTCAGAGTTCTTTTCCTTGAAGCTGACAGAATATCGTCTAGCAAAATGGTACGGTACTAGAAGGTACTCTATTCAGAAATTATGTATTTTTTGTTAACTACTACCCAAAATCCTCTAGTCAAGTTTCACGTTTATAACCTTAAGGAAACCTGTCCTCCGTGTAACATCGAAACTTTTATTGTAGAAAAAATAGTCAGAATAAAAGATTTAAAAAAAACATATGTATCCACAGCACTGTCTACAGCTTTTTATCATAAGAAGCAGGTAGATATATAAGAAACACAAAAATTGATATCAGTGTTGTAATTAGATATACTTGAAATAATATCCTATCTACCACTCTTGCAATGTATAACCAACGAGAAATTTTCACTTCCTTAGAATTAAACTCGTTTGCATTAAACAGTTGACAGTGGTTCTTCTGGTCTGAAGCAATCTTAAGATTATCGTTATTGTTTTTGTTATTGGGAATGATATCGATTGATGTAGGATTATCATTTTTGCATATCTTTATCTCGTCTACCGAAGCTTTCTTACTGTTGTCAATGTTATTATTATATTGCCACTGTAGATCGTCATCACTTTGATCTTTTTGAGTATATGGAATCATTGCTAAATAACCAAGGACATTTTTTACAAGACTCCATACTAACGGGTGTGGTTCTGGACATGGTTCACTTTTACTGCGTAAATGTATGTGCAACACTGTAGTGGCGAATACTAGTGATATCGAATTCAATGTCATTACCATGGTGAGGAAAGTACCGATTAGTGGAGTTGAATTGGACTCAGGTGTATTCTCTGCAATCATTACCTGTAAAATAAAACAAAGCATACAGGTGAACCATGAATAAAGTTTCCAAATCTCACATAAGACTCAATGTGTTATTGCTCACAGGTGTAAATTGCTTCTTATTCATACACCCCATGTTTTCTGAAAATTAAAATAGCCTCAAATTAGGACTACAAGCATTGCCAAATGCTTACACTTCACATTTGTGGTATACCTACAAGTGCAAAAAGCACTATACCTACTCTAAACGGAGTTTCTCATTGCCCAACTTCGAAAAGATGTCATTTAGAAAACTACTCAAGACCTGTGAGAATTTGACAGCTATTTCGTCCTGGTGTAGGTCTCGTCAGAAGTGCGCACCTACGAATTCATGAGGGAAGGGCCTCGTGACTACCAGCTATCAGTGCAAGCTATTACCGTTCAGCCACTGAATTATAATCCACTCGCGCATCTTTTCTTATCTCTTTCGAATTGTGATGCAGCATGAGTATTATCCAGTTTCGTCCCAAGTATTTTTCCTCCTATCTGACTTGGTGTGTTAATTGAAAACTAATTTGGAATCGTTGACAAGAATGTAAGTCTTCACTAGGCATTCTTGTATGAATTTTAAGTTTTGGCTGAAGAACGTTCCGAAGTTGAACTGGACAATACCACCATCCATTCTGATAATAATACATGGCTTGACAATGAAAAACATGACTTTCTAAATACATATTAAGAGAAAATAACTAAGATTTCGTCACTTGCAAGTAGATGTTGCATAGTTAACAGAAATGATATTTAAAACAATATTATTATTACCTGTAGAAAGTATAAGAATAGAAATACAGTCAATCCCATATCAATTTTTCGTGCATTTCCACTTGGTAGCCAAAAGCTGAATATTGTTAGCACGCATAACAGTATGCTGGGAGCAATCACCGTGTACGCATAAAATAAAGCTCTCCTGAATATATGTATGCGTAAGTTTATCTGTATTGAGGTGTACAGCGGAATAGAGAAAGTGAGAAATAGAGAAAATGACAATGCTGGTATTACTTTTTTGTCACTTGTTTAGTTTATAGATAGTTTACATGAAATAGCACTGAGAATTCTGGTGGTTTAAATAACTTGAACATATAGAACACTGCTCTCTATGTGGATTCAACTAAGATCTAAAGGTTTTCTTAGAATTACTTCAGTAATCCGTTGCTGAGTTGAAATTCGTTTTGTTTTACAACATATTTGTGTATCAGTTCTATCAGTAAGTAGTTAGTTGTTCGTGTTGCCTATCTGCATCACAAGTATCATAATAATTTTCTATTAGAATTTAGAGGTAATTCATATAAAATCAAGTTTTTGCTTTTCGGAGCTAGAAATCTTCATTCTACAAAGTTCAAACTAATTCTAAGCTAATTTTAGTGATTGGTTTTCAACAGTAGTAAACAATGCACAAAATGGTCACTTCATGGTTGGCAATATAGCTGTGCATTCCTTGATGACGACTGAAGTTTATCGATCAGCTTTGCAATGCAGTGATTGGTTTAGTTAAGTGATATGACCTTGAGTTGCTTTGTTTCTAAAATTACTTATTCAAATCTAAGTAATCCAATCAAAATCGGTGTGTTCTTTACAAAACGGTATTAATCAGACCCAAAAAAATATTGATACCAGGTTTGTCCGAAATTCGCTGTACACGTGGAATCAACTCATATATATCATAACCAATATAACTATAATAAGAGAAAGTTTATTTAAAAAATACATTTGAAAAAGTGTTCTGTAATATGTTGGAAACTTTTTTCTATATCTTCCACATTTTGTGAAATAAGTGGCTTATGCTGCAACTAACTCACATTAATAACTGTATAAGATTATTTGAGATTGTTCCAAAGGTGATCCACAAGAAGCTCTGCCTTAACCAGGTTTCGTGTTTGTTAGTATTCATCATCAAAAAGTATCTCGCTTCCAGAGAACTGTTGCTTTGTCAGATGTCAAAATTCATATTATTTAGGACTGTTGCCAAACACTTTAACAATATATAATATAAACGTAGAAAATGAAGTTTTTGGGATGGATAAGATAGATTTGTTATTCACTAGGAGAATGAAATGATTTGACTTAGTCGACTGCTCAGTGTTAAAAATCTATGACGACAGCGCAGAAAGAATATCTTCAGTTCCTTCGAGGCCACCGACGCTTTATGGCGGCAATCGCCAACAAGTAGTTAACCTAAGTGGGGCTTTATAACGACAACTGCTGACTGATTACCTAAAATGAAACAGTCTTCCATGATCTCGAGTTTCATGGATCACTGAGAGAAGTATCTCAAACTGTGTCAATAGAGAGAACTTAATCAGTGCCTAAAATTCGATCATATACTACCACTTAAATTAGTCAATATTCCTAACTTAATGACTTATATATCGAACAGGATGGAAAAAAAAGATTAGTTTCGATGTAAAAAGCCTTTATACTAAAATATCAACCAATATGGCACTAAATGCAGTCGAAAATCAACTAAATATCGACTGAGAACTTACTCATAGAACTAAGATATCAGTTGATGAAATCATATTAGGTGTACAGTTGTGCTTGACCTCCACAGTCTTCAAGTAGAGAAATAGAAAGGATCATCGATATCCTCAATCGTAGTAGATATATTTATAGACAGTTGGGAAAATATGGCTTTACAAATATTTAATCCTTCACCTAAGATATGGTGGTGATATGTGGATGACACATTTACTGTGTTGAAATCAGAACACGTCGACAATTTTCTCACACATAAATTCAGTAGTAGATGCAATTAGATTCACTTACGAGGTAAAAATGAACACGGAGAATTGTCTATGTTGGATTGCAAGATAAAATAAAGGACAGATGGTGGTTTGGATATTACTGTCTACAGGAAACCGATACATTCTAACAAGTATCTAGATGTCAGGTCATCTCATCCAGTATCAGTTAAGGTGGGTTTAGTCAAATATCTAAATGACAGAGCTAAATACCCACTAGTAAGTGTAAGGACTTAAATGAAAAATTAAAACACATAAAAGAAGCATTAATAGTCAATAATTATCCTGTACCGTTTATTAAGAAGTGCGTACAAAGATATAAGAAGCGAAATGATAACCGTAATACGAATATGAATAATAGCGACAATATGAGTAGAAATGCGTTCAAAGCCTCTACTGTGTTGCCATATAAGGAAGGAACACCAGAAACTTTACGTAGGATTTTGAACAAAGCTGGAATCAAGGTGACACTTAAACCTAAAAACTCACTCAGAGATAAGCTTTGCTGGTTTAAGAATCCGATAGAACCAACTGACCAAAATAATCTAATCTATCAGATTCCATGTAATGACTACGAGGTCAAGTACATAGATCATAAAAGGTGGTCGAGGTTAGTTAGATTGGCGGAACATGCGGATTTACCTAAATATAAAATGACAGATCCAAATAACATCAATCATCTAGAAAAAAACTCGGCTATTGCAATGCACGCATTGACATACAACCATACAATATTTTATTATTATTAGTCCCTTGGGTTCCTAGTGGAACATAGGGCTTCAGTAGCACGCCTCCAGTGACCTCTGTTCTCTGAGATCTTTTGAACCTGGTTCCACGACAGCCCAGAAGCTCTCATTTCCTCCTCGCACGACCTCCTCCATGTCACCCTCGGACGTCCAACTCGTCGCTTCCCATGGGGATTCCACTCGAGGGCCTGACGCGTGATGTCCTCAGTCGGCCTTCTCAGTGTATGCCCAATCCATCTCCACTTCTTCCTGCATATTTGTTGCGTGATAGGTTCTTGGTTGGTTCGTTCCCAGAGTTCCTTGTTGCTTATTTTTTCTGGCCATCTGATCTTCAGCAGCGAGCGTAAGCAGTTGTTGATGAATGTCTGTAGTTTATTGGAAATGCCTTTCGTGACGCGCCAAGTCTCTGAGACATACAAGAGCACTGACTTGACGTTGGTGTTGAAAATCCGTATCTTGTTCCGCATGCTGAGTGCAGAAGATCTCCACACTGGTTTCAGGCTAATGAATGCCTGTCTTGCTTTTCCGATTCTGACTTTGACGTCCTCGTCCGTCCCGCCTGTAGTTGAAACAGTGCTTCCTAGATAAGTGAAGGAGGTTACTTCCTTCAAGTTTCTACCGTTGACGGTGATTGGAGTTTGTTGTTGTTGTTGATGGTGGTGGTGCGGTATCTTCATCACTTCTGTCTTCTCTATATTCACCTGAAGTCCCGTCTTAGCTGCCTCCTCTGTCAACTTGTTAGTTTTGCCTGCAGATCTTCAAGTTTATGTGACATTAGGCATAAGTCATCGGCGAAATCCAAGTCTTCTAGGTTCTTTTCCGTCGTCCAGTGTATCCCCCTCTTCTCGCTGCCTACTGTTTGCTGCATGATCCAGTCCACCACAATTAGGAATATCATGGGGGATAGTAGGCAACCTTGTTTCACTCCTGTCTTCACTTCAAAGGCATCACTGAGCTTCCCATTGTGGATTACTTGGCATGTGGCATCTTCATATAGTTGTTGAATGAGGCGGATAAAGGTTTGCGGTACTCCGTAGTATTGAAGCAGTTTCCAAATTACTTCTCGGTCGACGCTGTCAAAGGCCTTCTCAAAGTCGATGAAGTTGAGGTATAGAGCTGATTGCCATTCTACGCTCTGTTCTATGATGATACGAAGCGTTGCAATTTGGTCAGCACATGATTTGTACTTCCTGAAGCCTGCCTGTTCCGGTCGCAGTTTTGAATCCAGTGCGTCTTTAAGCCTCTCCAGGATGATGCAACCATACAATATGGTGGGATCAAATCACTGAATTGAAGTCCAATATAATTCGGTGAAGAGAGAGGTTGATTACTGAATCTTTGTTCATCGAATCAACACCCAAGATATGTAACAGAAATGATGCAACATTGATAACACAGATATGTAAAGTTTTACTACCAATTAAAAACAAAGAATATGAGTTGACAAGACTTTAAAAATCAGATATCGAAAGTAGTGTGATTACATCGATATGATTATGAGCAATAATTTATGCTCGAAATATCATCAAGTCGATAGTCCTGTATAACTGTATGCTATACATCAAATAAACAAATCCAATATGGAATTACATCCTACTAAACTGCTCAGGTTTTACATATATTCACAGCCAAGTTGATATTATACAACTTACTTGTGTGATATTCTGTCCGCCAACTGTAATACGATAATCTTTATAAATTTTCAATTCTGGTACAGCTAATTCAACATTCTCAATTAATTTGGTTAGCATTATGCTTGTATTAATCGGTACAATATTCAATTTGAGTTGACTCTGATCATATGTCCATGAAGCCAATTGAATATCACAGATTTGATGATCGAACGGAAAGTATAAAACATCCACATTACACGAACTACGTACACTGACTGGTAGATTCCAAGTTACTTCACCTGGAAAAAAAACAATGTACAAAATATTCAAATACACAAGGAGGGATGGTAAAACGAAGAGTAATCAATGCTGAAATATCTCGATTTAGTGTTAGATTATGTGAAGCTCTGCATACAAGCTCATGGTAACTAGAAGCTGTATCATCCAGTACTGAATATGACAGACTTTACCACCACGCCATTCAAGCCATGATTAACAGTATGTTGAGCCATAGCTTAGTGGTAACAATTGGCATCTTTTCCAAATCATTTCTGAACTCTGCATTTTCCACGTTCAAGTATTTCGAAATTATCTCCGCCAAGATCGTGATAATAGACAGAGAATGATGATGATGTTACAAGTAAACGAAAGGTAGGCATATCCTTGATAGAAAGACAGAAGCCGAGAAGTCTGAATGACTTCGATATGATGATCTACTGTACTTCATATCGCATCCATAACACACTAAATGGAAAGTGTTATCCTGCGAAGAAAGGAATTACCTCGGCTTGTGAAATTGGATCAATGAACGTCATGGCTAATTTGTAATACTTCTCGTTTCGTATGTCTCATTAGTCAGAGAGATGAGATAACGCACGAATTAGTAGAGATAATAATTATGAATCGTGCCTAGTAATAAAAACCAAGGCACGGGGTTTCGCCCTACTTTGGACTCATCACCTTGGTGCATTAGGTACTTACAAATAAACAACTAAACGCAACACGTTATAATAATAAACTGGTAGAGAATCAAAACCGCTGAAAACACTTTCGCTTATGCCTCAAGACTAATTTCTGAAAATATCGACCCAGAGACACCGAAGGTACACTCCTAACTGAACGTTTCGGCTGAATCTTTGTTCAAACTCCAAACAGCAGTAATCTAAAAGATGACTTTTTACGTAGGGGAGGTGTGAAACTTCATCCTATTGTCGGTTAGTTGCAGTTGTGAGTTTCGGGACACTTGACATTAGGTAGGACTTTTAATAGGATCAATAGTGATATCATCACCACCTTATACACTTCCTTGAACCGATCCAAGCTAGAAAACTGTGTACAAGTGGCAAGTATTTACTTAGAAAGTGATTCAGACCTCTTAGAAAGACCTCAGAGTACGGCTACCTACATGTGATCTCTACAGTGATAAAAATGTCCTACAAGGAACAATTCCAGAAGTCCAACCTCTTCCCTTTATCTTATTATACACAGACAGAAGATCTTTCTTATGTTGCAAAGAATTTTAAGAAATGACTTTCAGTATGATTTCTCTTCTTTTTCTTCTTCACCAGTCAGTAATATCTCAGACAACATAGCATCAGAGTACAATGAACCAATGATGAAATGTAGCCGTAGAGTATTGTTATCAACGTCAGGTAATCAGGGCTTCAAAACTTTGCCTAGGTAACTAGTTCACTAGTTATTAACCGGTCACAACCCCGAATAAAAAGGGAAGCTTGGGCATAGGGCTAGCAACCCTACTCCGGAAAAGCAACCAAATCGCTAAAGAAACTTCAAAGCACAAAGAAAACATATGACATAAAATTAAACTTAATCCTCGCTGGAGTCATAGAGACGAAATGACGCCAGTTGGTGAGAGCCTTAGGAAAGACAGTTAATCAATGCGTTTTCTCTCCCTCTATGAAAGCAAATGTAAACATGGGGACATGGAATGTCCATACAATTTTTGAAGCTGGCTGGAAGAGCAGTAGGACCAGATGGAATTCCTCCTGACAACAGTGGACATACTCAAACCACTATTGCAGAAGGTTTCCAAGGAAGGAAGGAAGCCCTTCTTCCAGTCGATCGGCAGGTACCTTTCCTTCCTTCCCTCCTTCCTTCCTACCTGCCGATCGACTGGAAGAAGAACTACCTTGTCAAACTCCCAAAGAAGCGAGACCTAGGTCTTTGCAAGAACTGGCGCGGAATCATCCTCCTGTACACACCAAGCAAAATATTATGCCGCGTCATCCTGGAGAGACTTCAAGATGCACTGGATTCAAAATGACGACCGGAACACGCTGACTGGCTGGTCGGCTTCAGGAAAAACAAATCATGTGCTGACCAAATTGCAACGCAACGCTACGCATCATCATAGAACAGAGCATAGAATGGCAGTCAACTCAACTCAACCTCAACTTCATCGATTTTGAAAAGGCCTTCGACAGTGCTCACCGAGAAGTAATTTGGCAAGCAGCTGCTTCAACACTACAGTTTTCGTGCCACAAACCTTCATCAACCTCACTCAACAGCTATATGCTATATGGTGCTGCATGCAAGTTGATTCACTATGGAAACCCCAGTGATGATGCCTTTGGCCTGAGGACAGGGGATAAGACAAGATTGCCGCCTACTACCACCGATGATCTTCCTCATTGTGGTCGACTGGGTTGGATTATGCAGCAAACCGTGAGGAACGAAAAGAAGGGCATACGTTGTTTGACCGATGGAATAGACTCTGGAAGATTTGGTTTTTCGCCAATGATGATTTATCTCTGATGTAGCACAAACTCGAAGGTCTACAGGCAAAAACCAACAAGTTGGTAGAAGAGGTGGGGCAGCGAAGATAGAAGACTTCAAGTGAACGTAGAGAAGACAGAGGTGAGGAAGATACCTAACCACCCCCACCCCACCACCACCAACAACAACGAGCACCGATCACCATCAACAAGAGAAACCAAAGGAAGTTGTCTCTTTCACCTACCTACCTACCCACCTACACACCTACCTCGGCAGCATCCTTCCATTTACAAACGGCACAGATGAAGATGTCAAAGCAAGGATCGGAAAGACAGCAATACAGACCTTCATTAACCTGAAACCAGTGTGGAAATTAACTGCACTCCACTCCACTCCACTCAGCATAAAGTGTGAACAACATCCGGATTTTCAACACTAATCTCAGTCAAGTAACTCAGTGCTTCTATATGATGGATCAGAAAGTTGGCGCGTTACGAAGAACATTTCCAACAGACTGGAGACGCACATCAACAGCTGCCACCTACGCTCACTCGACACTGACACCGAAGATCAGATGGACAGAATAATAAGAATAAGCAAGAAGGAACTCTGGCTGGCTGGCTGGCTGGCAACGAACCAACCAAGAGCCTATCACCCAACAAATATCCAGAGGAAAGTGGAGATGGGTTGGATGGGACCTACACTGAAAAGACCATTCTGAGACACTGCGCACCAGACCAGGTCCTCGAGTGGAAGCCGAAGGGGAGACGCTGAGTTGGGTGTCCGTGGCGAGGGTGACATCGAGGAGATCATGTGAGGAAGAAACGAAAGCTTGTGGGCAGTGGTGGAGCCAGGTTTCGAAGACTGCAGAGAAGAGAGTGAAATGGGGACGTGCCACTGAAGATCTTGTTTCACTAGGAACCCAAGGGATAAGTTATAAATAATAATGATAATGGGGGCTTGAAAACACTTCATTGAAGAAATGGTGTCCGTGTTATCGACTGATGCATCCAAGAGGGTAGGTCTGCTAGAATATCACTAACGCAGATCTTTGAACTTTTCCCAGCTGGCAAACACTTCGGGCACACTTTAAAGTTTTTGAGTAAAGAACGCCACTAGGTAGTTTTGGATAACTTACAACAATGCATCGTTGCGCCCGACAATGTCAAGTATTTCTCACGTAAATTCCAAATTTGTCAAACTGCACCCAGAGTTTTTCCCGAAAAAGGCAAAAGTTCCGAATTGCGCCCAAACATTTTACCCGTAAAACGATTCTCTTCAAATTAGAATGTTATGTCTGAAATACAGATACTTGTTAAGGCTTGTAAGTAAAAGTTCCATTAGAAATATCACAGACTTCTCACTGCCGCATCGATTTGTGTGAAACAACTGGAATGTATATTTATACGTATGACATATCTGATATTCAATAGCCCTGCACTGTCAGTATTTTTCTTCCCAACCAAGATTCGAGGTGGTAATTACAACAGGAAATGCGAAACTCTATCATAAAACATGAGAAAAGTTAAAGATTACCACAATCGGAAAACCAATAACAACCTACCTCCCTGACTGACACGCACTCTACTATGCGGTACATCCAACAGTCCATTCTTACCGTCATCTGCATTATTGTACACATATAAATCCGGTGTCCAAACACGTGATGATGGCAGTACAAGACTTGTTAAACGCTCTTCAAATTGCTTATTTTTATTACTGCTAGTTCCGTGTATATCAAAAAGTTGTAACATTCTATATTTGATGGTTTGATCGATCCACTTTAGTTGAACTAACAAAGAAGTCATCAAAATTTGATTTTTCTCATCCAAGTCAACCACTTGCTGTAGAGCCACTTGGATAGATGCCTCTAGTGTTTCATTACCCAATTTCACAGGTCGACTTGCTGGTTCATAATTAGTCAGCAGCTGTCGAACAACCTCTCTTTCAGAAAATTGGTAACATGAACAAACATGAATGCTAAGATATTGGAAAATTAATATCAGTAGAATCACATATGGACAAGAAAATGTTGTCAGCATTTCTCGAGAATGATGAGTTAAATTTCCCAACGCCTTCGTTTTTTTCCGCTTCAACCACTTGTTATTTAGCCTTGATGATAAATCAATAAAGTAAGTGTCTCTTAGCCAATCAAAAGGTGATATATAACATTGTAATCTGATTGGTTTACACATAGTAGGTAAGTATATTATGAGGAATATTGATTTTTACTCTTGTCGCTCTCACTACAAATATGACATGACATCCATACTAAAACGTGATAACGGCAATAGTGGAGTAATGAAAAATATTTTTTGAAGAATTCGTTAGTCGAAAGTTGGCAGTTGGCAATCCTCTGACCGTGACAAATAACTGTACAATACTTTAACTTTTTGAACAATCGAATCAAAAAGTCACACTCTGAAACTCGCTTACCACTTAATGATACGTAAGTTGTGAATAATTTTTGTGAGGATGTACTGTTGAAGTACTTAAAGTGAGTCAGATACTAACTACTTTCAACGAGTTATCAAAGAACTATGAATTCAGTACTTGGATTAACTTCAGCTTACCTCATTTTCACTCATTCAGTATCACTTGAAATGACGGAGGACCGTAGGTCATTGTCCAGCTTCAGGATGGTCTCCTCGGGTACTTCGACGAACAGTCTTGGAGTAATGGCCACCAGTCTTTAGAAATCCGTTAGAAAGCACCAATCTTTTAGTGGAGACTATACCGAACTGAGCCGATTCACTGAAACGTCTCGAAAATAAGTTGTGATTCTTCTGCAGAGACAAATAAACAACCCTTTTTGGACACTGCAGAAAAAGTAGTTGGGGGAGTCATTATCTTCCATGTCTTCAAAGTACAAGTACAAACTACAAACAATCGCATCACACTTGATACAGTTACCAGACAGGGACTTTATACAATTTGTTCAGCCTGGTAGTGACACCTATATCATTAAACAGTCAAGTGTAAGAAAAACATAGTTAATCGATCGCGTATTTCAAGGAAACAAAATCTTCTGCCTGACATTTGCCGAAAATAAAGATACTTCATTAATACCACCTTGAACGCGTGGGTAATCAGTCTGCACCATGAAATTATCCCAAGACTGACTAGGAAAATCAGTCGCTCCCTTCTCATAAATATTATGAATACTCACGGAAATATTATACAATAATTTAGGATGACTATTCTTTTGACAGTAATATTAAAATAGTTCCGTTCTCAATTTACTAAACCTTGAATAGATAAACCTTTGGAGATAGAATGGACAATGTGCCCCAGGGATCAGTGAACACTGAAAATGTCAAGTACGTGTAAACTTGAGAAGATAGTTGTTTTTGAGTGCACGAGCATTTTCGTTAATGTCCAGTCGAGTTAAACATTCTCCCATGGAATTCTTATGCATTATACCATACACATGGAGTGTTCATGGACGATTAACTAGTACACATATAATAGTAATAACTTAGCATTGGGGTTAACGTTGGGTGTAACTCAACCACAGTGTATGTTAATGTACTCCATTACGAAAGACACTTTATGGGGGGTAACTATGACTCTCGAGGATGGCCCGACAATGGTATGCGTTTGAGCCACTAACCAGGAAAGCCGGAGATGACATATAGACCGATGACTACTAGTTGAACCCGGTTACTCAACGACAGTGAGCCTGGTTGTGACCCAGCTTGGCATCAACCATTTCACAGTTAGAGTTGACTTGGCGGTAAGCACGGTCGACGATGTGTAACGTACATCAGTGGTGAGGGTATCCAAGGCGCAGATGGCCTATCCGACCATCAGAATCCTACCCAGTTCACTGAAAGCAGTGCGACCGAAAGGTAAGGGAATCCAGATTCCTAATTTAGGTAGTCACTGCTTTTGAAGTAATCCCAAGACAGGGGGGCATGGTTAGCCTTGCGAAGGTAGGCAGTATTTGGTCCGAAATGCCGGGTATCCTTCTCTGTGACCTCGGCCTTAAAGACAGACTGCAAGCAGCCTTTGGTTGTGAAATTTTAGTGAGAGAAGGATAATTCTTCTGGAAGGTGGGCTGCACCTCTTTTGCAAGATTATGGAAACTTCAGTGAGATGCATCCCACGAATGTCTGCTCACGGGGAGGTGAGCACTATCAAACCATCCGACTACCCGGCGAGTGTGGTTCTCGGATTAGATTGACCAATTTGAGGGAGCGCTAACACAGTGCTTTTCAGCAGTATTAGGTTTCATGTAGGTGGGGTGTTATGATGTTTTTCCTTCTCTTAGACGGGACTGATCCAACAGGTCCATTCATAATGACATCCACGAAGACAAGGTCTGGCCCGAAACTGGGGGTTGAACAGATAATTGAGGTAAGACTCTCTTTGTGTACTTGATTATGAGAGACAGTTGATGCGTGACAGTTATAATGCCACATGGTTGTCTAAGCTGCAGTAGGTGAAGCGAGCTTGGGACCATAAACTTAATACTTAAAAACTACTATTGAACACTACGAGCAGTTGAAAATTGCCTACACTTATCTATAGATTTGACTAGCCAGATCAAAGTGATCTAAACGACAAATGACTGTTTCGCTAGTTTGGAACTGAACCGGTTCAGCTTACACAACAGAGTTCTTTAGATCAACTGAATTTTATCAGGTGACTGGGAAGGGTCCATATATCCCGAACAGGATGATCAATTCGCATCTGAATTACATGTTGGTAATTCTCACAGCCGAGGAGTATTTCAGTTACCCCAAATGTAGTGTCAACAGGGTTTTTATTGTAAGCCCCTGATGAATTTGACTAAAAACGGATGAGAACACAAGTCTAATCCACCGAAGACAGTGTTTCCAGATGGCTATAATTATTGAATGACGATCTCCATCATGCCCAAACATGCATCGTCGTATCTCGGAATTACTAACATGATGTTGCAACCGGATACCAGAAATTCTACGGTGACAACAGTGATCAAACACACGGAGTCTTTGCACACCCTCAGCTCGGAAAGGCCAGGTTTCTCCGGCGTAGAGCAGAACTGCTCGAAGTGTTGTAAGCCCAACCTTTTACGATCAGACTAACATCGCGACAGTACGAAAGGTGGATAGAATCAACGTGTACCAGTTTGCCTTTCGATATGCGATTGGAAATGTCCCCCACTCACACCTCCACCAGTACTGATACAACTCCTTAGTTACGCGATCGTTTCAACTACTTCCAAAGGCTCACTACCAAGGGTGAGAGCAGACACAGACTTCTCTCAATCTCGCAAAAGTAGTTTGCATTTCAGTGGTACAAAGCGCATGCCATAATTATGGAGCCTAAGTGGTTTCCAGCTTCCCATGTTGTTCAGTGCTGCATTTCGTTAGTTGATAATACTCTTTTTGTGAGAGACCATACCTTGTAATGCTGAGTGAGTGGTTTCAAACAGAAATCTTGTCGACAACACGATTGGCTGGCAGTTAAAAAACTGCTCAGTTGTGAGGAATATCAATGTGGACCGTACAGTTTTCAAATTGTTTGCCAACTGATCATCCCACTACTTAAACTTTGAATGTTCAGTGCAATAACCCACAATTTCATGTATCAACAGTTTTGTATTTAAAATAGGGTGAAGTAAGGTCAAAATTTATGAACAAATACTTAAGTGATTAGACACAAGCATAATATTTAAAAAAAATCAAAGTAGATTTTACGAATTAATACGAGTTTACGCACAGGTAATAAGTACAGCAATATTTGATCTTTATAAGAGAAACAATAGGAAACGGATAAAAATTCCTGTTAATTACTCTATACTACACATGTTACAAAACCGAAGAGAAAAGACGGTTTGGATAAAGCTTTACCGAATTTTATTTTGATTGGTTGGCTTTCGTAGCAACAAATTCAACCACCTACAGAAGGTAAAGATGGACACCGTTTGGTTATGACCTTGTAGTATAATGGATAATTAAGAGTGACATCATCAGATTGATTGAAAGATTAGTCTTGATCTTGGAGTCTCTGACTTTTAGTCTGAGCGATGTGTAGAAATGTAGACTGCCTTTTAAGGGTCATCGAAACGACAGGAATCAGTGATTGAGGACTCTCGGTGATATGGCTGGAAATCGATGACAATGGTGTATCTTCTAAAGCTTGAATATTCGCACTAACCTTTATCTTCAGATTGCTTATTCTCTCTCATTAATTTATCTTCTTTGATATCACTCATTTTTATCCAGCTGTTCTTTGTGTGCTACTGTGAAGTGTGGTAAATTGATCCGATGTACCAGTGTGAGAGGTTCTGCATTGATTTTGTCAATCAGTGTTAGTCTTGATCAGATGGGTATCTGTGCAAAGGTATTACGACTGTTTTCACTTTGTGTTTACTCAACCTCACTGGCATAAGACTGTTCACGTGCTTAGAAACGGTCGTAATGTTAGTTCTATGTAAACTGTAAAATTCCAATGAAAACAAACATTTCCAGGATCGAAAATGTTGAGAACGAAAGCTGAGAATTTATCGTATCAGCTAGATGTGACTTCTGATCACTCTATTAGTCAACTTATCTCAATGTATGCGTTGTGCAGTATGGATGCATTCACTTCTGGAGCTAAATTTTGATATCACACAGACCTGAACTGAATAGTTTAAAGTGTTCTATTCCTAAGAAAGTAATTTTTGAAATACATGCACGAACACACATTATTTTGTTCCGTTTGACACAGACTATTAATCATAAAAAAGGCATTAGCTTCGACTGTATATATCCTTGGTCTGTTCATTTTTACGGTCAAAAATCAGGCAATTTGAATTATTCAAGCCTCCTAACAGATTCACATATTGCATGCAAATAATGAAATTGCCTGAAAGAGTAGATTAATCTCTCAGTCTAGTTATCAGTTACTGCCAATTGACATGAATGGTTCGCAGCTGGCAGTATTGGGCTTTGAATGGTAAACAAGTTCTTTTAGAAAGATTTACTGTCAGAATAAAGCGTTTCCTTGAATAAAAAACATAAGTGGTACAAAACAGTTGCTATAGCTTCAGGTTAATACGGCATGGGTAAAATGTAAAACATTTTCGATGACCCAACCATTCTTTTGATGCGTTCAACATAAATAGCTCGGACCACGTAATACAGTTGAACGTCTTCTAGCGAATTCCTTCTCTGGCTTTTCAAGATGAACTAGCTTTCTTAAAAAGTACTTTCTCTGAAAA